TGGAAAATAAGAACAATCTTAGCAATTAACAATTGCTCCATGCGTCAGCAGGCGCTTATTGATACGCGAGAGATTTGGAGAGCTCGAAAGCTGCGCAAGAGTTCCTCAAGGTGAATACAAATGCAACTCTTGATTCTTGAAGTCTTTCTTAACTTTCTAAAGTGTTTCATTACCTGACTAACGCACACCTGAAGTATGACGCAATGGTTTTGTTGAATGATTTCTGGGGAGAAATATCCTTCACTAATCTTTAATGGAAGAAAAACGCCACCAGCGTGCAAAATTGGGTGTTGCGGCACCGTCGCGCTATTGAAAAATCTATTATCTATGCTATGAACTGAATCAGAACACAGAATCGACCTTGAAACATGATTCAATTGAGAAGATGTGTAAAAGAAAAACAAAAAATTTTTTACCTTTCGTTTTCATTGGAAAGAACATCAAGGCCAGAATGCTTATGATGCTCAGAACGACGAGGTCCATTGCGATGCGCTCTTGGAGAACTTTCATTCAAACAAGCACGCCCAAGGTAGCAACATAATGCCTCGTGTTTACGCCGATTTTCTATAAATACATCAATTTAATAAATGCCAAGAGATATATTTACACATTTTTCGTCGTGAATTATTTACTAAACCTCAGGGATGAGTTAATTGTCAGAAACACATTAGGGGCGACATCGTCTCCACGAAATCTGGCCAGGGGCAGATGAATCATTATTGATGCAAGTAAGAGACTATAATTAGTTGATTTTCTTTTGAAAGCCAATATGGCAGCGATCCTGAGTAATTGCTTGCATCATGTATTTTGCACTTTGCATGCCTACCTCTCAAGCAGTTTTATTTTGTAATTAGTTTGGCTTCCTTTGCGTTTATCTTCTCACTATTAGTGGGAAGATAGAAGTCAATTCTTTTGGAGTATTTCTCATCTTTTTCTTTTTCATTTAAGGCGGCACTCAAGTATTATGTTCTCCCATTATCTTTTTTCCTTGGACCGTCTCCTATATTCCCAACCGGCTAATCGAAAAAACCACAAACTGGATATTTTCATTCAGTTGTGCCTTCCGAGAAATTAACG